ACGCTTTCGCTTCAGGAAGGCCTTATTTTAACATGGGCATGTCATTGGCGGTAAGCCCTTACCCGCAGCATTACCTTCAAACGAAGCGAGAACGCATGGATAAACAGAATCCAGAGAAGCGAACAAAGAATGCCTTACAGAGAAACTAATGTAGAATGCCCAGATGAGTACATACTTATTTATATTAAATCAGAAAATGTCTTAAAAGATTAAAATTAATTAAAATTTTTATAAATCAGTTTTTATACAAACATTTGTATGTATTTCGGTATTTAGATTTTACTTAAAAATCGGTATGTACATACATGCATATTTAATTAAGCTTAAAATTGTACTTCGTCACTCATATACTTCACTTCATTGACTGACTTCAACTTCGCTGCAAATTGAACAAAGCAAAACATGATTTTTATGCGAGACAAATTTCCACAGAAACTAACGGTAGAAAAAGATTTTTTGGATATTCATTCTATTTTTCAGCTGACTAGGATGCAGCATTCTATTTTGCATTCCCCGAAATGAAGCAAAGAAGCGGACTAAAAAAAAATATTGTACGACATTCTACTTTGCATTCCCTGAAATGAAGCAAAGAAGCGAATTAAGAAAGAAATATTATAGGGCATTCTACTTTGCATTCCCCAAAATGAAACAAAGAAGCGAAATAAATAAAATATTGAAGGACATTCTACTTTGCATTACCGACAATGCCTAAAAGAAGCGAAAAAATTCGAAGGCATTACAACGCTATGCCTTCTAGAACACGTTACCACTAAAAGCGATTACCGATTTTTTGCTGGGTAGTGGAAACCAAACCGTCCCTTATGCGATTTTTTATTTTAGAAAATTTGAAATTCCCTACATGACAAAAGAGAGCTTTTTTCCAGTGCCCGCCAGGTTAGATCGCGTGCCTATGAAGTGGCTAACTGTGATTTAGTTTCATTTCGAACTGTGATTTTCCAAAAATGTTAGAAAAGTACCAAATTTTTAATAAATAAACGAAGACTCGAAGTAGTGAACGCTATTATTTATGAAGAAAAATAAAGAAAAGCCGACGGCAAAAAAGCCAAATACATTTGGGCTACTGAAATCGCTAAATGAAGCAAAGTTCGTTACCTAAATTCTACTTTATATTAATTAAACTCTGTTGATATAATTTTTAAATATTAATAAAATGGGTATGTAACGCAAATTCGGTATTTAAATTTTTAAGTGCAAATTTTGTAATGCCTTTTTCCTTTATAACTTAAGTTCTAAAATTTGTGAAAACTGAAACTAAAATTAAAAACAATTAAAATTTAAAAAATTTAGAAAAAACCAAAGCAAAAAACTAAAAATAGGAAACTATATTTTCAAGAGTTTTAAAAAAGTTTCAAAATTTGAATTAAAGTAAAAACAGAAATAAAAAAAAAAAAATAAAAAATGCACGAAAATTAAAACTAATTATAATAAAACAAATGGAAAGCAGCATAAACTCAAAACTAAAATTAAAATTAAAAATTAAAAAAAAATAGAAATACAAACAAAAAATAATAAAAACTATTTATCAGTAAGTTATAAAGTTATTAGTTGTATAAAATATTGAAAAACTGCTGTTCCTAGCTGGCACTGACATCCATTTTCACCCCTCGGATTGGCCCAAGAGAAGCTATGTAGACATATTTCAAAAGATAAATTAGGAGCGAAAAAAACTATATCCGCAGCCATGGGCGTAGCCGGGTAGGGGAAGGGGGGTACTCGAGCCTCGCCCCCCCCTAACTTTCAAATTTTCCTTATATATATATAAAATAGTACCCTGAAATACCAGCTTAATAGGGTCGAGCCCCTCCCCCCCTAAATTTCATTCTGGCTACGCCGATGTCAGCAGCCATAGCGCACAAAGTGAAATTTTAAATTAAAGTATTTAAAAAGAAGAAAAACCAGAAAAGGGAGTACGCCTCATGCATAAAATTTTAGCTCAAGCTCCGACTCGATTTTTACGATTAATTCTTGAGCTCACTTCATCAGTACAAAAATGTTGCCTTCACTTTTTATGCATGAAGCCCAGCGTGTTTTCGGCACAAGGGGTTAAGGTGGTTGTTCAAATAGGGGCACACTTGGACCGTAAACATTAGTCCTTTGTGTTACCAGTACACACGTCAACTTCTAACGAAAAACCTTGTTTGCCAATTTTGCAGGCTGCAGGACTAGATCACGGCCTCTATAGAATTCGATGTGATATTTAATCTCACCGCATGGGTATACATCGGGCATTGTCATGTCAATACACCTATGTAACACTATTGGAAATTGCGACTTTGTGACCCCAAGAAAATAAGACAAAATCTCGAACCACGCAGAACGAAAAATTGCACTGAAGATGGCACAACGCCGAAACCGGTATTTTTCTCAGAGTGTATGTATTATTCTCTCTGTGGGGACGTATAAGTTGAAGTTAGACAAGTTTTATAAATCTCTTTTCGAAATTTGAAAACAAATATTGAAGCTGTATGTACCGAGAATCGCACCCGACTGCAGAAGTTTGCGTTGTCTTGGAATTCATCAAAAAACAAAAAAAAAACATAAAAAAACGCAGAAACTGGTTTAAAATTTTCTATGAATTGCAAAGTGAAGGGCTCTCTTAGACTCGAAAAACTGAAAACCCAAATAATCGAGGCTAAAAAATACATTTCATAAAAATTTAGATATCTGCTGAAAAATTCTAAACTAAAAAATCTATTTCATAGCATGATACAAAAAAGAAGGTAGTTTCAATAAACAACTTTTTGATTAAAAAGCAGATTTTTGACAATTGCTCAGTTGTGAAAAATTCGAAGCGGCGTTACCCAATTGTAAGTTTTTTGGTGTGGGAGATTTATATCCTAAATTTGGGATTATAAGTAAAATAGTTGTGTTAATATTTACCTTTTAAAAATAATTAATATCTTATCTTAAAAACGTTTAAATTTTACATTAAATTCGATAACACAAGTCAAGTGTCAAATCATTATTTTAATATTAATACAATTAGTGAACATATTTTAAAATTTTTTCAGTGTCCTCATGTCATCTGATTATTTCACAATGTAGTTTTCTATATCTGATACGATGATTCTGATATAATTCAGATGAAATTATACATTTCGACGTGTTATTTAATACATATTGTCTTTGTTCATTTAACAGCAAATGGAATTTACTTTGCGAGCCATGGCCGCCAAATTTTTTCAGCAACACATATTGTTTTCAAATGAAATTTTGACACACCCAAAAGTGAAGTATAAAATAAATAGATAAAACCTAATTTTCAATCAAACTAATTTGTGTAGTTCATGGGCGTCTTTTGGTAAATGTTCTGGTGACTGTTTTAATATATCCTATCTTATTATATATTTCTTAGCTTTTCTACATTCTTAGAAGTTGAGAGAATGGAGTCTAATGTTCGTTTTTGGTCAACTAAGACGTTTGATTTCATTTTTTGCAATCATTAGTTCATTTTCCTTGAGTCACATGCCCACACCGGCTATACCGATTTTTTTTTTGAAATTTCGGGCACAAATCTTCCAAGAATGGTTATAGGCTAAAACAAAACCGATATCTAAAGGGATGTGGAACCTCCCACACAAATCGAATTTTTCGTAGTGCATATCTCTGGAAGTATTTATGGTAGAGTTCTGGAACTTGGTATGGATATACGTATGTGTATGAAGTCAATCTCATGGAAAAATATGGGTTTATTGGAAAATGTAGCATGTCACCGTAGAACTTGGAATAGAGGTAAATGAAATCAATCCAAAACCTATGAAAAATGGGGTTATATGAAAACGATCTCGTAGCCAGCTACGAGAGCTAGTGGTATAAGCCATATAAACTAAAATTCTGGTGACGCATAGATACCTCTGGAAGCATTTCCAATGGAAATATGTACAGAAAAACGGGCGCGACACCTTCTGGAAAGTAACACACACAGGGTGTATCCCTAGAACCATGTTAAGCTAAACCTTGAGGGATTACATTACTATAAACTGTCAATTTTCACACAATTTAAAATGTACATGTGTATTTAAAAATGTCATGAAAATTGTGTTGCTAGCTTCATTTTGCAAAAATGTTGCAAGCTTTTTCACAGCATGAACACTTTGCTGAGGAAATGTTGTGAAATTTCACACTTATTTCACAGAAAGAAATTTTATATGCAATTTAACAGCTTTTTCACGTGAAATAGGAATAAAATATCTACTATGCTTAAGAACAAAGATTTTTAAATCGACAAAAAATTAATAAGAAAATTTGAAGGATTTTAGATATTGGGTATGGTAGCACGAAATGTCACAATCTGCTTAATAGTCAGGTTGTTAATATGGCGACGAAAAAGTGACAATGGAACTACCTTGTTTTTTGTATCATGTTTCATAGAACAATATGTAGGTAAACAAGTAAAATTTTCGTGCTAAAATTTTAATGTTTTCGAAGCCTTTTTCATTGTGATGGAAAAGCCCTTTTATAGATTAAAAATTATACGTAGCAAAAAATTGTAAGAAATATTTTTAATCATTTTGGTATTTCATTAAAAGACAGTCGATCTAATTTTTTTACAAAGAATTTAGTGAAGTCATTTTGTGGTAAAATGTGATGTACAGTTCTAATCAAGAGCGATTAAAAAAAAAAAATTTTACTGCGGCATCGCGTATGCACAGCTGGTTAACCCTATAAAATCATAGAGAGCAAGTAGGCAAACAAAAATTAAAAACTATTTTGATTTGCCACTCACGTCTACAAAAAAAAATACTAAACAAAAATAATTACATTTTTCATAAATCCCACTTACAAAAAAAAAAATCATTTTTCCAACACGCGCGCTGATATGCCACACTTTCCATTTTAAAACAAGTTTGCTTGCCACTCTAATTGAAAATTCACAATTAAATTTTTATCCTGGCACCGCTTTTACTTTGACTCCAGTTTTTTCCAGCTTTTTTTCTACTCGTATTTTAAGTACAAATTTAAAATTTCAACACACTCACCTTTCTCAGTGCTACGTGCACGATCTTTCAGCTGTTTGACGATTCCATATTTAACGGTGCCAAATTGTATCATTTTATTGATCGTTTCTTGATGATTATCTTTGAAATCACTACGCATTTCACACAAAACAGTTGATATATGATTTTTCATTTAAAAAATATATATATTTTATATTTAAGCCTAGCATCCAGCTCGAACGTGAAATCTCAAGAAATATTTTATTTGTAAAATTTTTTCTAAAATTATAAGCGAAATTTCAGCTGTTGAGTTGATTTTTGTTTGCACAATTTGCTTTGATTGAAGGTAATATTACATTTACATTGAGCCCAAATGCGTCATTTGGGCGAGAAACCTCAAATGCGAGGCCAAATCACACATTTCTCCATACAAATTCACATTTCCAGAATGACGCATTTCGACGCATTTACACAAAATCACGAAACAAATGCGTTCCAATTGCCGTACTATTTTATTGAACGCACTCAGAAACAAAAGTTCCACAAAAGCTTTGGTTTGTCTTTGACATTTGGAATTTTTCAAACACAAAACAAACACAACGAAATAAATAAATCTTTGAAATTTGTGTGTAAAAATTGTTAATTTATACAAGAGCTTTACACATTTTTAGTTTAATCAAAGAATAATTGCCTTTTTGTGTCCAAAAAGCGTTAACAATATAATAAATGTAGTGTTTGTTTACATACATTTTGTTTTTGTCTTCCCTTTTCATTTGATGAGAAGTCAAAGCAAATGCAGATCAAGCAGTGTAAACACCTTCAAATGACTGATTTCAAATCACGCATTTTGGTCCAATGTAAATGTAATATAATGCTGTTGTTATGATTTGATTTACAAAATTATTTCCAGCACACAAAATTTAAACGCAGACGATTTCATTTGCCATTACAAGTCTCATTAATTGTTCGAAAGCCGCATTTTTGAAGGCGCTTGGAAGGCGTAACTTCTTGTTCCAGCGATGTGAATTAGGCGCGACATTGACACGTTCACAGGTTTTTTTATGTGTAGGTGAGATAAAATTTAAGCGAGTTTCTTCAATTGCTTGTTGCTAATTGAGCGCGGGTGTAGTACCAAAATTTTAAATTTTTTGATTTTTTTTAATTGGAAAAATTTTTTAAATCTGCATTTTTTTTATTTGTAGTATGCAGTAAATACTCGTTTTTCGAAATCTAGAAATCGCGAATTTCCTTTATTAATTTGTATTATTTTTTTATTAGAATTAACAGCGTGGCGACGAATAACTGTTACCCAGGTTTTTTTGAGAAATAGAAGAGTCCTTTATAGATTTTGCGAAAAAAGTATGTTATTGTTAATTTTCCACAGATTTTACTTTAGTTGTATTAATTAGTTTTTAAATTTTAATCCTTATTTACATTTGCCAGCAGTGTAAACTTTGAGAGAAAAGTTCATTTGGCACGCAGGTCCTCGTCAGTTAATTTGTTCCATATCTTCTGTAACCATAGGCTAATTTTCTCCATTTTGAGTCCCTTATACTCCTCCTTCTGTCCAAAATAAGGCCTCATACTCAAAAATCTAATAGACTCGGGACTGGTGACTAGGACGGCCATTCATTCGACCAACCTTATACAGTTTTTTTTTTTTTTTGTACTTTTTTTATACAAAGCCTAAGAAAAAATACACCTGAAAAAGACTTGCGTGCCAAATGAACTTTTCTCTCAAAGTTTACACTGCTGGCAAATGTAGATAAGGATTAAAACTTAAAAACTAACTAATACAACTAAAGTAAAATCTGTGGAAATTTAACAATAAAATACCTTTTTCGCAAAATTTATAAAGGACCCTTTTATTTCTCAAAAAAAAACTGGGTAACAGTTATTCGTCGCCACGCTGTACACAGCCGCGTGCTTCGCGTGAGCCTTGCGCATTTTGTATCTACTAACCGCCGGCGTTTAGTATGTGATAGGTAGTAGGCCCCGTTTTAATGTTGTTGATTGCTCATACGCTCGGTTGTTCGATTGTTCGCTGGCTATTTGCTCGCTCGCATGCTTGCCTAGCTACTACCTTGTTTACGCTACGCGCTGCCGTCATCAACTGTCATCATCATATTCATTTAAACTTTAATAATACTCGCCACCGCTCATAATGTGTAATATCAATAAATTCGTACATACGTCGCCGCTGTTGCTTTCAATTACAAACAGCTGTAGTGTGTGTGTGTTTGTTGTTGTTGTGGGTATTGCTGCTATTTTTGCTTTTTGTTGCAGCTTTTTTTTCTTGCTCCAGCGCTGATGATGAAAAATTGTATTGCCGTTGCGTCGCTATTGCGCTACTTACTGCGCTGCTTCTAGCTTCTCCTGCTGCCTAGCTATGCGCCTCTGGATCTGACTTTTAAGCGCTACTCCTATTATACACACTCACGCACGCGCCTACATACACGCATGTGTGTGCGCGCAAGCAATGCCTATTTTTGGCGCTGCTGCTGCCGTCGTACGCAAGGCTGTTGCTATTGCCGGCAATTTGCGGAGCTCCTGAACTCCTCCATTTACAAATTAAAAAAATTTTTAAGTTGTAGGTTCTTAAAGCTTTACTTTATTACGTACACTTTAAGCTTAAGTCGCTGTCTTAGGCCTTTATTGCGTTCTACGCTTCCGGGATTTTTTTATCTTTTACCGTCGGAAATGTATTTTTTCGGAGTTCGCCGGCCAGTTTGTTGTTTTGCAAGTCGCTCCAGCGGTTTTCGGATATTTTATTTTATTTTTTTACAGTTATTTTCTATAAAAAATTTTATTTATACACATCAAAAAATCTGCATTTGCCATTTTCAGCGTACTTGCTTATATTTCACACACTTTACGTCTTTTAAATCACTCGCCATTGCGCTGTGTCTTGTGTCTGCTCGCTTCTTCGCAAAACAAAAAAAAAATATTTTTATTTTTTCTTTTTCTTTTTCAATCCATTAATTCACACTTTCATCGACAAGTCAATTTATGTAATTCTATCAATCATTTATCAATCCGCGCATCGA